CCAAAGCGTCCGGTGCCCAGCGGCGTCCTGCGAGGGCTTCGCTAAAGTTCCAGTTCTGTCTGCTGTCCCTCTCTCTCTGCCTCACATACTCTCTCTTTCTCTCTCCGGCTCTTTCTGTTTGTCAGCACTTAATGGCGCAAAGAGTTTTTCACATACCTGCTTCCTCGCAGCATTTAGGCTTGCAATCTTGGGTAGGAGTGAAATCTTCACCATGGTTGGATCCTCCTCTTCCTTGGGTTCGGAGGGCAGTTCAGGCCAGCTGGACATCACGGGCTTGGCGACTGTGTGGGATGGGTTGCCTGTAGTGCGTCAGACTCTCCGAACTGGCGGTGCCTTGTTCAAGGAAGTTTCGGAGAAGAACACGGACCTACGAACTCCGTCAGCACATGCTCCAATCCTGAAGCCCATCTTGGTGCTCATGAAAGACAACAACAAAAAGCTGCCTTCCATTGATGCCTTGAGGGAGGAAGTGAAGGCTGTCTATCAGCTCAACAAGCGCGACATAGTGCCTTCTGAGGTGGAGGGTGCTGCTTGGGGTTTGAGGAAGTACGCAGGCTTCGTGAAGATGAAGTGCCGGAAGCGGCAGCCTTCCAACGATTCTAGTCGGCGGAGCATAGATCGGCACAGAGTTTGCGCCCACATATGCTATATAGTGTTTTTACATAGTATCCTTGAGCCCGAACGGAGTGTTTGTTGCTTCCCAGGATTTCGTCTTCCAAGAGCTCTGCTTGACCCTGGACCCAGACTTGCAGGCTTGGGACTCTCGCGTAATTGGTCCAGGCCCCTAAGCCCTACAAGCTCCTTAAACCGATTATATTAGATCATGGTTCTTAAGGGGTGGAGACTTGCCAGGATTTGGTGGATGAGATCAACGAGCGGAGGGCCGCACTGATCGCGCCGCCTGACCCCGAGGCAAGATTTGATTTGGTTGGACAGTTTTCATTGAGGTTGTGCTGGGCTCTGCACACTTTCTGCTTTTACTCGTCAGGACCCAGACTGCGAAGATGACTACGAAGGGGAGGATGACGAGGGCGGCGAAGACGACGCAGGGGGTGTGGGTGAGATTGATGCGGCCGCGCCCGCGGCGCCGGTGGTTGACCTCACCACAGAGATGGATGTGAAGGAGGAGTTGATGGATGCGACCGAGCAGGAGCCGTTGGGTGAGACAGAGGCATCAAAGCCTTTGGTGGAGAGGCGTGAGACAAAGGCATCAGAGCCTTTGGTGGAGCGGGATGAGACAGAGGCATCGGAGCCTTTGGTGGAGCGGGATGAGACAGGGGCATCAGAGCCTTTGGTGGAGACAGAGGCATCAGAGCCTTTGGTGGAGAGGGGTGAGAAAGAGGCATTAGAGCCTTCAGAGCCTTTGCCAGCTGATGCGACAGTGCCGCCACAGCCCAGTCTGCCGAGATGCTAGGATGCAACATAAACCATCGGTAAAACACGTCAGTCATCCCTTTATGTCTCGATCCATGTTGTTGCGTTCAGGAAGCCACTACAAGATGGTCGAGGTTCAGGACAAGTTGGCGGCCGCTAAGGACAGGTTGGAGAAGCTGCTTTGTCGGCATGGTCAGAGATTTGCATGGGCTATACAGTTTGCATTGGGTATGCACAGTTTGCTGTCATGCAGTACGGGCTATGTTTGAGGCTAAAGCAGAAGAAACGCCTTCTGGAGTCGGGTGGCCCTTCCTGTGAGAATATCAAGAAGCCCAAGAATCACCCAGGACAGGGCAAGTCTCGCGGCCGTGAGTTGTATATGTGGACTTAAGTTTTGCATGTTAACATGATAACAATCATTCAGGACGTACGGATACCTTGGAGACCCAGCCGGTTGACATCATGGCAGTGCCCACCCCTGATGCTTCCTTGCTGGACCCAGTCCTGCCGAGTGGTAGCGATGCCACCAAGAAGCTTGCAGACGTCAAACGCAGGAAGAAGCAGCCCCCATCCGATCCGCCTTCCACACCCTCGTCTGCATCCAAGGGTGAAAAGGAGGCTTTTACACCGGAGGAGGAGGCGCTATGTTATACTTGCATCATGCTATGTGATGAGAACATGCACGTGTTTCCGAGTGGCAGACTGCATAGTGTAACAAAGGCATGTGCAACACATTTTACATAAGTGCAAGACTCTGCAGTTCTGGTTTTCCTCGTGTGCACAGGTGGCCAAAACCCACGAGATCCTGTTGAAGATCGACCAGAATGCTGGCAAGCGTCGGCGAAAGGATCGCCGCAAGAAGGCGGCTGAGGACGAGGGTGCTGATGCTGATGGTCATGATTCCCATGGTGAGCGATCGAAAGAGAAGACGCTTAAGAGGCGCGTGAGCAAGCGTCGCCTGGTCATGAAGCGCAAGAACTCTAAGCGATCAAGATCTTTCGAGGACGAGGGTTCCCCATCGCCGGAACCGGTCGTGGAGGAGCCACAGGCTGCAGCCCCGAAGCCCAGGGTTCGGGTTACAGGGAAAAAGGTGCCGACGGCAGAGGACCCAACGGCCCCAGCTCCGAAGTCAGCTCCGAAGTGCAAGGCCAAATCGAAAGCCAAGCCTGTCCCGAAGTCAGCGCCGAAGGCCAAAGCCAAGGCTGCACGGAAGGCGGTGTGTGCAGAGGACGAGGAGGGCTCAAAGGCCCCAGCTCCAAAGCCAGATGCGAAACGCAAGTCAGCTCTGAAGGTCAAGGGCAAAAGCAGTGCCAAGCCTGCTGTGGAGAGCGCCGAGCCCAAGGAGACTGGCAATGTTTCGAAGCCTAGGGCAAAGGCCAAGGCCGGTAGCCTTCGCCCATCGGTTTCGAATGATTTCGAGCTTGACGAGCACTTGATGGAGCGCTTTGTGGCCTACGGAGGGCAGTGCCATGGCGAGGAGGACAAGTTCAGTCTTGAAACCAAGAAGCGGCTAAGGGCATGCCTTTCCACTTTCGAGCACTCCACCTTGATCATCTACTGGACTCGGCCCGCCGTTGCCCTCAAGTTTCGGAAGCACGATCGCACCAAGGACTACTTTTACAATGCGTTCCCCTGTCCCGAGGGTGTCTGCTATCGCATCCACATGCTTGTGTCCATCCAAGTGGGGATCGAGATGGCCCCTTGCCTTTTTTAGAATTCTATCTGTAGAATGCTATCATTTGGTCATATTATGGTGCTTCCGACACCCGATTTAGGCAGAGTTCCTTGACATGCTCCTCGCGGACAAACCTGTGGAATCCTGGCCGGGGTTCGAGGAGAAAGGCATGGCCGTTCTCTTGGACGATGAGCAGGTGGCTTTGCACTACGACCAGGTCGTGCAGCACGGACGAGAGGCCATGCAGGTCCTCTTGGAGGAGGACGCAGAAGCAGAGGACTGATCGACTGCCCAAGTGAGGCTGTGGATCCTGCCAGTGGTGGCCATGCCTGGTGTGGGAGCTATCTTTTCTTCTTGCATAGCTGGGATGCATGGCTGCCAAAGGCAGCATTACTTCAGCTTTTACCTAGTACGGATTCAGCGATGAAGCCTTTCCCATGTCGTTCCATGCAAAGATGATAGGCACTCTTCCTTGACGTCACTCTGTTGTTACTACAAGTGTATTTGCAAGCTTATTGTGTTTCTGTTGTATAAGGGAAGGTCGGCTCGCGACTTTTGTGCATGTGGCAACCGCCACAAATCAATGTATCATGATTTCAATCTGCTGGGCCTGGAGCTCTCATCTCTCGATGCTGTGTTACAACCCGATCCCCACTGATGCAAGGCCGGTGTTTGGCATGAGTTATATGTATGCATGCTACAATGTACATACCATGACCTTCTTTCTCGTAACAGTCCTGAAACTGCATAGCCAGTCCATGCAGCTGCCAGCACGAAGAACGATGACGCCGGCATAGTTCTGCATCTTAGTGGTTTCGGGCTCGATGCGGGGCTTAGTCTGCTGAAGCGCAGTGAAAAATCAGCAGCTGAAAGCTCGATCTGATTCTGTCGGAGTATCAGTGGCAGCTAGGCATGTTTCCAAAGCCCCACACCCCGAGTAAGTAGATAGGTCCCCGTGCTTTTTTACACAACATTCATTCGAAGCTTTGTAGAGCCACAGACCAGTGCTGCAAACAAAGGCTCGGGCTTCGCAATCATGCTTTTATCCCGAAATGCACCCAATCTATATCCGTCTTTATTAGAAGTGAAACCTTCTAAGAGATCCCGAACATAATTCCAAACAAACCCACAAATCCAGATCGCTTGCCGAGGCCGGATCATTCCACGTGGCTCCAGCTGGAAGCTGCGGCTGCAGAGGTCATTGCGAACTAGTGACACCTGCCACGCTTATCCGGGCCAGGCTACTCTGTTGACAGCCAGGGATTGTGCTTGGAATATTGATTTGGGCCTTGCTTTATCGTATGTTTCCTGCCTGGAGCAATTTTGAGCTTCAGCATCAGACCCGATCTGGGTTTCGAGCACAGATGGACCCCTCTCGTCTGGATGAACTCCTGTGGCGCCTCTCTGCCATGAATGTTCCGAAGGATCCCCGGGGTGTTGGATATCGGTGCAGCATTGGGGCTCTGGATACATCGCATCATGCGGTAACCATGGTATGATCGCTGTGTTCAGGAGTTTGTGGCCTGCCTCGTCCTCGTCATCTTTTCTGTTCGAAACCTGGACCAGGATAGCTTGGCTGTGCTTTAGGATTTGCTAAAAAATAATGGTTCACGGGTCTACATACCTCATTCGGAGATCAGGCACTGAAGGCCTTAACTATTGAGCCACCACTATAGACAAGCCCTTAACCCCACTATCATTATAGTGCAATCGCTTCCCAAACCCCATAAAAGCCCCTTAAGCCCTCTATAGAATTCCTAAAGCCCTTAACAAAGCCCTTAAAACCCTGAAAACACCGTAAGTGCCCTAAGCCGAGCCCACGCACTGCTCAACATGCTGAAAGACACACAGTGTACTGCGTGTGTGTGTGCATATAGTATACATGGTATATGCAAATACATATAACGAAGAATCGGTAAAATAAACGGAATAGATCATTGCAGATATATATATATATATATATATATATATATATAAATATATATATATATATATCAACATATGCATAAATATACTTCTTTTCGGTGTATATGTATGTATGTATATATATATATATATATATATATATACGTTTGTGTTTTAAGTACATATACATATTAACTATACTGCATATAGTTGTATATGCTTTCATTTGCACCGCATCATTTAAAGCAGGTACGTCCATTACAAATACATACATAATACCAGCAAACCAACAACAAGTACATGCAACACAGTTACGAAGTTCTGCAAGCCTCTATTATGACATAAGGTCTCTACACATATAGCAATATACACATTTCATCTAGCTCGCTTTAGATGCACCCCGAATCTTGGGCTAATCCAACCGCCAACCCTTTGCCGAGGTCAGTCAGCAAGTGCTATAATCACTATAACCTTCGACCTTCGATCTAGCTTTATAACAGAGCAAGATTGTATTGGTGCATGCTGGGTACAAAACTCAAAGGCTTCAGGGGCAGAGTTATATAGGGTCTTGCCAACTAGGGGAAGCAGAGTTCTTTGGGTGTCGGGAATCAAAGATCCTGTGCAAACAGGGGAGATAGAAGTGTTCAGGCCTTTCTAGATTGCGTTTTTTCTCCTATGCATATCTGCATAATTAGTTTAGAAGTTCCCTAGAAACCCTAGCCAATCCAAACCCCTATAGAAACCCTAGCCAATCCAAACCATTGCATGAAAACATATATCTTCACAAAAGCCCTCGATCTATTATACAAAACCAAGACTTGAACCTCTCAGCCTCACGAAAGGCCCAAAGCCGAATTAACCCTAAAAAGATCTTAATGATGCGTCTTTCAGTTCAAGCCAAACAACAAGCCCGGCGACAACATATTGTGTCAGAACAAGTAAGATAGGCCCACGGGATCCCGTCAATAGAAACTTAGCTAACTCAATTATGTGTGCAATTTGTTAAAATGATCGAACTATATAGGCCCTGCAAACCATCATTCTGAGCATCGTGTGCAAGACTTCTATACAGTCTGCATGCATTTTACTGTGTTTCTTTTATATGGGTTCAGCTTACGCAGTTTTTCCCACCTAGCCACGGCCTCTGTATGGTGTCCTCTCTAGTAGCCACAATGTACCCTGTAAGTCCTACAAGCCTCCAGCCTGAGCAGGATTTCGAGTTCTTGGAATTCTTCGCGGGCCGCGCGAACCTGACGTATGCCATGCGGAAATCCAGGCGGAAGTCCGGACGCTTCGACATACTCTACAATTCCAGGTTTCATAAAGGTGGTAAGGTGAGGCGGCCAGGATGTGAGCACAAAACGAACTACATGGATTTGTGCACACCTGCAGGTTTTGCGCTCCCTGTCAGATTGGTTTCAGTTTCGTTTCGTGGTGCCCTGGTTGTTGGGGTATATAAGTATACAATCTGAACATCTTGGGTCTTTCATTCTTGTGCATTGCTGAGCAAGTTTGCCGAAACTAAGTCTCGCCATTTACTTCGTCTTGCGGGGCATGGCTGGGAAGCTCTTTGCAACGTTTGCAATTCAGTGCTCTACCTTCTGCACACTCAACAGAGGGACCTCAATGCGAAGCCCTGCCACACCTGTTGGCAATGTCAGTCATCCCTCTGTCAAAGAGGGCAACAAGTTGCTGGAGAGGATTGGGTTTTGAGGTTTTCGTTGCATTTCACATCGTCTACATTTTCCCTTTACATACTTTGCTGGTCCGTGTGCCTGTAGGAGTTTGGCTATACTGCAAGAGGTTATAATGAGTCAATGCATTCTGTTGTCCATACTGATATCGGATATGTGCTTCTAATATCATATACAGCCGGCTTTGCAGGAGCACCCTCCTCATGTACTTGGTCACGGTTGTGGGCGGGGTGTGGTTTGTTGAACAGCCTGGTGGTCCCAGCCTGGAGTTCTACCCGTGCTTCCGGGACATGCTTCGTGCGCATTGGGATGTGAGTGGCCCCTGTTCCGTCTAAGACTTAGTACGATCGATCCGCAAAGAGTGTGGCATGGTATATAACTCGATATACAACAATTCAGAACGCCACTCCCTGCTGAGGTCTTCCGGGTTTCCTGGTGGATGGCCCACTATGGATCCACGACTCCGAAGAGACACTATGGCTGGTGCAACTCGGAAAAAGTGCAGGGCCTCTGCCGGGGCCGACTGGACTTGAAGCAGTGGGCCAAAGCAAATAAAGGGATGCAGCCGAAAACCGTGAAAAGGGGCCACCGTGCTAGTGGCCAAGCTAGCTGGACTGGAACGAGTGCATTGAAGCCTACTCAGACACCCGGCCCTCATTATTGCATCCATGGTCATTTGTTCTTAGCATGAGCATATGAAAACGACCTTTGCTGGTTCACTTCATAAACAGCAGCCAAGGGAGTATCCGATGAGGTTTGCCCGGGAACTGGTCAAGATGGCAAGCAGCTTGGCTCTGACTGGACAGGGGTGCCCGCCTCTTCCGAAGGATGGTTGCCCAGCTGCTTTGGAGACCTTTGCATCCATGCAGTACAACCAGCACGAGGGTTTGTTCGACTTTGCCAACTTTGCTGAGCTCTATATTTACTTACGGGGCGGTGTGGGTCTCGAATTTCCTGATCAAGCCTGGAAAGACGTGCTTCCTAGAAAAGCACCCGGCCAGGCCCAGGGCTCTTGAAGCCTTTTATCCCGCCTTGCCCGGAAACCTGGTTTCTATGCAATTGCAGACTGCCACTATAGGTCACTGGGGGCTTTCGTGCGAGGTTGCTTCGGTTCCGAAGGACTGAGATTAAGCATTCCGTGTTCTGTGAATAGGTTTGGAATGGTTTTTACACATTTTAACATGTTTTGGTACGTTCTGGGCAGCGCGAGACAGTCAAGAACCCGGCTTTGTGCGAGAACCCGGTTTTCACCCGTACAAAACCCATATTTAACCCGTCGGAACACGTATAAACCCATAATCCTCAGAAACCCCGGTTTTCCCCAACCCGTCCGCAAAGCGTACGCAACCCATAATTAACCCATCTAAACCCATATTTAGATTATGGGTTTTTCTAGTGGAAACCGGGTTTTTCCTATGGTGGTATTTATCACCCTTCAACTGCCTGCAAAGCAGAATCAGCGTATGCCGTACAGCTGTCAATTCAGCCTTGATGGCGCATGCATACATGCGCCTTTCAACTGCTGGCTGGCTCTGGGAAAGAGTTTGCTCTGAACCTGTGTCGTTGTGCGAAATAGCTTTTGTTGCATTTTACTACATGCCTGAGGCTGCAGCCGGCTAGCCTGAAGCGCATAGCCTGCCGAGTTTCGATATCTTGTGAGTCGTTATGGACTCCTTTGTTTCCA